ATTTTTTATTATTGTATTTTTATAAATGTATGTAAAACTGGCCAAGGAAAATAGGAACAATTCACAAAAAAATTTGATACATTTACATTTAGCACATATTGCAAACCTCAATGATTTTAATCTATCAAAATTTAAAATAACACATGTGCTTTACTTTATTCTGCAAAAATAACTTTTTATTGTCAAACTATTTGGAAACATATTTAAGCATAGAAAAATTACATTTTGTTTTGTGAAACATTTCTAGTTATTTCTCTACAATAAGATTAAGTAAAAAAAATAATAATAATCTTAATTAAATAAAATTAAACAATTAATATCTATATAAAATGATAATTTTGGTTAAGGTATTAGTCATTACCTTTTTTATAATGAGTATGAATTCAGAAGGTACTCAAAATTGTATATTTTGACTGCTAGTAAAATTTTTCCAAAATTTACATTGACATAAAAAATAATATAAAGCAATTGAATCATAAAACCACTTTTTATTATCTAGAACTCACGAGAAATTTTTATACCTTTATAATCAAAGTTACATATGACAAATCCGGTTTATCTAAGTTACAATTTGTAATAATTAATTGCATTTTAATGGCTTAGCAACAATTGCATATATATATATATATATATATATATGTATATGTATATATATATATATATATATATTTCTAAGTGGAGACTTATTTGAATAAATGAACGCATAAAACGATTATTAAATCATGCGTTTGTTTAATAATTGATTTTTACATATATAACTAGGCCTATAAAATACCCAGACAAGTTTTTTTTAATTACTAATTACATTAGAAAATTACGCAAACTTATGTCATGGATTTAATTAGACGTTGAGTTATATCATATTGTAGGTATTGATTAAACATTTTTGTAATTTATGCGTAATGATTCGAGAACTTTATAAAATATATTATTAATTAATTAATTGATGTAAGAGAATACATTTTATGTTAAATTAGGAAATAATTTTCATTTATATATTTTTATCTGAATTATTTTATTCGATTTTTGGTAAACTAGAAGCAAATGGTACACTCCATAAACATATTCATTAATAGAAATGAATTAATAGCAATTCAATTACTATTTACAAACTGTATTTAAAATGCTTCTGAATTAATTATAATACGTAAAAAATAGATTTTTGTTTTAATTTAATATTTATTCTTTATGATTATTATTGGGAAATATATTTGACAATAATTGATAACCTGATATCAATTAGTAAAGATTGTACGAGACATTTCAGTGGTTAATAAATTGTTGCATATTTTTAAAAAAATCTGTAGAACTTCTTTTATTGATAGTGTTCATGGTCTTAACAAATATAGTAAAATATTATAGGCCTACGAGAAGTGGTTTAATTATAACAATTTCTTGATATTTGGAATAATAGGCCTTGTCCAAATTTCAAACTCTTATCGTCAAAATTTTAAAAGTTGTTAAATTTCATTTCTTTTGCAAGTTGTTTTAAGACAAAATTATACTTGGTCAATATTATATTCCTCAGAGTCTTGAAAAATAATAGATTAATGCAATTTAAAGCAACAATATATAGTTTCTAGAATGATTTTTTTTAATATTAATGTATCAAAATCGTTCAAAATTTGAGTCTTGGAAAATAATAGATTATTACGATTTAAAGCAGCAATATACTATACTTTCTAGAATGATTTTTTTTATTATTAATGTATCCAAATCGTTCAAAATTTGTGTCTTTAAGTCTGGGAAAATAATATATTATTAAAATTTAAACTAACAATATACTATTTTTTCTAGAATGATTTTTTTATTATTAATCCATCAAATTTGTTTAAAATTTGTATAATTACTCCATTATAAATTGCCTAAAAATAAATAAGTAAAAAATATAGGAACTGAATAAATAGGTAAATAAAAAAGATTCATCAGTATTACGAGTACTAGGTATTTTGCATGAATTTTTTAATTAAACTGATAAAAACGTATATTTTTAATACTTCTATTATGTTTGAAATACACAAAACAACTATTATATTTGATTACCTGCAAAATATTTTTGTATACACAAATTGTAAATTCCCAGAATTATTTATAATATCATGTCACGGTTTGAATAATCTATATTTTTGTTAATAACTCTATTTTCTCATCACCAAATTAAAATTTATATATTTATAACAAAATTGAAATTTTAGTGTAAATATTATTATTATCTAATATACTTTACTATATAAATCTCGTGAGAACAAAAACAAGGACATAACAAATAATAATGTCTCTATACTATTTATAGGGACATGGGAAATAATTTAATCATTTGTGGTCAGAAAATTCATAGAAAATGCAACATTAAGAGAAAACGTTAATTTTATATGTCATGGGAGTAATGGATTTATTTGAAAAATATTACATAACATAAATAATAATAGTACATTTTTTAAAACAAAATTTGAATAAAGCTTTTTTTTTTAACTTCTCATATTGAAATACAACGATTTTCGAAGAAAGTTTTTTTCTTTAGAAGGTCCAACCAATTTTCATCATTACTATAAAGTTATATGCCATAGAAGTAATGGATCTATTTGAAATTTATTACATAACATAAATAATAAGAGTACATTTTTTAAAACAAAATTTGAATCGTGGTTAATCTTTTGTTTTTTTAGCCTCCCATATTGAAGATTTTCGAAGAAAGTTTTTTTCTTTAGAAGGTCCAACCAATTTTCATCATTACTATAAAGTTATCAATTGTATTAATTCAATAATGATTCCCAAAATAAGTAGTTGTAGTCATTTTTATCTAACCAGTTTTAATTTTTGTAGAAGGCAAACTACGCAATTAAATTTTTGATTAACATTTTCAAATTAGAGGTATTTGCAAACAAGTACTCTCCAATAATTAATCGTTAATATAAATAAATTTTATGATTCATTAAAACCATTTCTTTGTTTTCGTGTTATCGATAAAGTGTCACGAGTGTGTTTTTATTATTGGTAATATTATTAACATGCTTAATTGCGTTTGATATTTTGGCAAAGAAATTAATGTAATTATAAAGTACTACATATATATATATATTAGATTTTTTTCTTCGACGTTGAAACATAATTTGAAATATTTAGTTACACCCAAATATTAGAAATAAAAAAAACTATTAGTGCATGACAACGACAATGTTGAGGCAAATGAGATTTTTAAATTTTTTGAAAAAAGACCATTTTGAAATATTTGATTTTTTTTATACTTTGAAATATTTTGAAAATTGGTAGGTACGGAACCCATAGAAAGTAAACAAAATTGGTTATAATGATAAAAATATCTACAAAGTATGAAATAATTTGATACGCATATGTCTAATGATTATTTTTGTCTGCCAAATGCCATTTGTCACTTTTTTTATGGGTTATCCGAAACGGCTAGACCAGTCTTTACCAAAAACTAATCATCAAGTCTCCTTATCAGCAGGAATCAATTGTTTTTTTAATTATTCAAATCGGTTGATCCGGGTTCGCAAAATCGTCGATGAAAAATAGTATCCGCTCATACATACACATACACACACACATTCAACAATTTTTTTGAGGTATGCCAAAATGTTCAGAAACCTCTGAAACGTAAAGATATATAAAAAATGTTATTTTCAATTTTTTGCAATTATTATAACCTACCCTACGGAAAGATAATTAACTATAAATATGTACGTTTTGACACTGTATGTGTGTCATCATTTAGCAAGTTAACAAATTCGAACCAGGAATTGACACAAAATTTAAAGACTAAATAAAAGAAACAAATCATTGAATAAAATAAAATATTAAACTAGTAATTAAATTAAAGAATTATATTATATATTTAGTCACATGATTACTACATTCTACATTGTATAATCAATGTCTCTATTACTACCTATATTACTCGTTAATTTCATTTATCAAAATGTTTCGACGATCCACCAATTTTTGTATGCTTTTATAATTTACAACGAGAAAAACCCTGTAGTGCAAATTGTTGGAATAATGTTGCATGTAGTTGCATTTGTTTGCAAAGTGCATTAGTTGGGATAAACCAGTTTCTTTCAACTAACTTGTTTGAAAAAATGTCTCTTCACATTGAAATATTTATTAAATCAAATATGAATTTATTAGATAATTTAAGTAAATCAAATTATATTAAAAAAGATAAGATTAAAATATGAAATTAATATTATTGGTTAATGTTACAAGTTACAAATATATTTTACCCTTCACACTTTTTTACAAAAGTCCAGTCCGGTGTTTGAAAAATTATCTTTGAGAGGAAAATATTTAATAAATTAAATATTAATTCGATATATAGTATTGTTAATTTAAAATATTAAAAGAGATATGTTTAAAATTTAAAATTGAATTTTATTGTTTATTGTTACAACTATTTTTTGACCCTTCTGACTTTTTTATATAAAAGTCCATACAGTTTTAAAAATAGTCAACCTTATAATGAACCAATCAAACAATATCTTTCCAAATGAAATTAATGTCTTTAATGTATACAATTTTTAACATCCCATAAAGTAAGTTGAAGTAATTGCAAAAAATCGAAATTAGTTCTTTTTGCATACTTTTGCCTTTCAAAGGTTTCAGAGCATTTTGGCATACCTTAGAACAAATGGTTGTACGTGTGTGTTTTTTTTTTTGTAATTTTTTTCTATAGCGAAGGAAATGCTTTTATGCATCCCAGACTGGATGTAAGTGTGTGTGTATGTATATTTGTGCGGATACAATTTTTTGTCGACAATTTCAAGAGCACGGATCAACTGATTTGAATGATTCAAAAAACATTCGATTCCTATTGATGGGGAGACGTACTGATTAACTTAGTCTTTGGCAAGTGCAAGTCCAGTCGTTTCGAAAAGTCCAGATGTTTCAAAAAATGATAAAACTTTGAAAAAATTTAGCAATGGTATCGGAAGTTCTAGCACAACTAGTTTGAAATTTGATTTTATTTTAATAATTTTGCTCACCTCTCTTCAGCAGTCAAATGCGCCAACTCCGGAACATAGCACCAATGTTCTTCCGGAGCCACGGTTATAAAAATCTGCGTAAAATACACAAACGCCACAAAAAACGCATAAGGTATCATCAGCAAGAACAGAACTTTTTGATATACCCCAAATTCTCCAATGTGCGGCAATACATCATCGAAATCCAGAAGCTTCCCATCGTCTTTGGATTTTTCATCGTCATTCAGCGGGGAACCTTGGGCAACTTTCCTGGAAATCGCCGACGCCTTTTTCGAAGGCTTCATTGATGTAACCGTTTTTCCTATTGGGGGTAAACTCAGGGCACCACAGGCACCGGTTTCTGTGTCTTCTGTACATTGCCGGTTTTGACCGGTGGTAGGGAATTGGAACCGTAGGGCGGCATTTTTTTGGCACTTGGGGTAATGGATTTATTTAAATTGGCTTGGGATTTATTGGTTTTATCACAAATGGTAATAGAGACTAGATAGAGACTAGATACACTTAAAAATAACTTTAAATAATAATTTATATAAATCACAAAATATACTAATTATACCAGGAGTCTTTGCACACTGTTCTATATAATTCACTAATTTTTTATACGTGCTAACAAATGTCTTGTATATATCACAATTGATAGAATGCAATATAATACTATAATACAAATTTCTAAAGTTTCACTCAAGTCATTGATTGTATCCCCTACCATGTGTCCCTCATCACACCTATTTTTTTTTTAATTCACTAGTTTACCCGGATTGATAGGAAAACGAATTCGATCATCGATTATAATCGATTGCTTTACAGGTGTCATGTTAGTGTGATTTCCATATGCAATTGTTTCGATATGCGCGTACGCCGGACGCTTTGCTGGTACTGAAGCGCTTATTATGCGGGAGCGACGTCTTATATAGAGTGAACGGTTCTGACAAGGCCGATGTGCGTGCGTTT